TAAAATTAACAGAGAGATTGATAAAACTATTTATTGATCGTGGCTCTTCTTTTTCTTTAAAATTATTATATAATAATAGTATTAATAAATATTATTTACATTAAATAAATATTTTGTAAAAATAATATAATATACCGATAGTTTGAACAGATAAATAAAATTATGTTGATAAAAAAATCTTTGTTTTAAATAAATATTCATAGATTGGACACTATACTTTGTATATATAATGCAAAAAGAATTTTCAATATCTAATATTTAGATGTTAAATATTATAATAATTTTCATATATTAGTTCTATTAAAAAAAAAAAAAAAAAGCAAAAAAACAAATAAGAATAAGAAGTTATTTTATAAGTAAAATATTATTGAAGAAAAGTGTACTATAATATATTTTTCATTTTTAATATGAAAAGAAGAACTATAATTTTTCGATTACGTCAGAATTTCATCTATAATACAAAATTGAATCATTTTTGCAATAAAATTGAACAACATTACAACATAGTAAATAAAGCACGTAATACTTATTTGGTCATTGCCGTTACATAATTAACTCCAGGTGGAGGAAATTTCGGACCTACGTTTTTAATGTAAAATCAAATGTCTATTTTGTAAAGTGATTAGATGCATTTTCATTTCCACATTAAAATCTAAGAATATTTAATACTATTAACACATCCCGTAAAAGCTTCGCATTATAGTAATTCATATTTAATTATACATAAAATCTTTGTATAATACATGTATAAACAATAGATTTATATAATGTTGGAATATAATAATTGTTTATTTTTATGCTCGCTTCTGCGTAATAACTAAATTTATTAAATGAGAATTTTTATTAATTATTTTAATTTAATATTTCTTTTGTCAAAAGTATTAAATATATATAATATATATGTATATCATCTAATATAACATTATTATTAATAGAAATTATATATATTGTAAAATAATCTAACATTTTAGAAATTTGTTATTATAAAGTCCAGTTATATTAAATTATTAAAAATATTATTTTATTATTATTGATTTACTACAGAATCTTCTTTGTTTGTAATGTCGAATAACTGTGATCGCTGATTTAAAAATACATTTTATAAAAATTACAGATTAAATTGTTTCAATTTAATATTTAAAATAAATATTAATTGCAATATACTTAAATTATAACAATGTAAAACATACGCAAATGTAAATAAATATTATTAGAAAAAAAGTGTTTATATGCTGGGTATTATGTAAATCTTATTGGTAACACTACATTTTCTTTAAACGAATCTCTTGTAAATTTAAATAAATTATTTTATCGCATATTGTATATTTTTTTCCACAATTGTTTTAATGAATGCTTCTATAAGAAATATATTTTTTAAAATCACATATTTTATAATGATACCTTTTTTCAAATATAAGTACTGATAATATAATTTCATATTACAAAATAAAAAGAAATGGTTTTTCACATTATCCTTTTTGTAAAAAGAATTATTAATTAAGGTATTAAATAAATTAAGTAATGAAATATTTTTTAATATATTAAAAGACATTAAAAACAATATTTTGTTAAATATAGTATGTATTCAACCTATGCTGAGAAATCAAGGTGTGTGTGCGTGCGTGCGTGCGTGCGTGCGTGCCGATTCAAGTCAGATTGATCTCCCATTATCATTTATATGTAAATTATTCTATTGAGTTAAATTATGTTATAATAAATGATGAAGCGAATAACATTCAATCACTTGTATTATAACTTCTATTGTAATAGAAATTTACAAATATAAATACTCTTACATATTTAACCGATCGGAAGTTACAAATTTTAAATTATTCTAGTGATTCTTATGATATATGATTGTTTGAAATATGGCAAATTAATTATTAAGAAATAATTATTTTTTTATGATTTCTGTGAAGATTGCCGATCTAGTATTCCTTTCATTCCTAATAAGAACTATGATTCCTATTGGCAGATATCTTACTGTCAAATGCAGTTTTAATTTCAATTTTTATAATAAATCCTTAAACATTTTTAAATCAAATTGTATAAATTATATTGTATTGAAACAATTGTATATAAAATACGTGTATGTTATAAGTGTAAATAATTTGTCGAATATTTATGAATTATTCAAAGCAAAACTAAATATATACTTTTACATAAAAGGAATAGTTCTAATAAGTGATTTGAAAGATATGTTAATTTTATTATTTTAAAAATATTATTTTAATAATTGTTATTTTAATTTATTTTTCTTACGAAGAAAGTGTTTAATTTTTTATTTTTAAATATTTTTTTCAGAAGAATCAATATAAACATTAAAGTTATAAGAAAATAAGTCATTTGTAAATGTTGCATTATGTGCAGACTATTATTTATTATTTAATGTATAAAATTATTGATATTATTGTCATTTATTTAACTATGCAAATATCTGTTTAAATCAAATTCTGTTTAAATTGGATAATTGAAAAGAAATATATATTAAGTTGTATATGATTAGGATGTTCATTAAAATTAAAAAAAAAAATTTGATTTACATTAATATTTCTACTTATAACAATGACTATATTTAATTTTATTATAATTGAATGATCTTACCAGTCATTTTATTGTTATATTTTTTGAAGTTTTCAATATTATGTGTTCATTTATATTTTAAAAGATGTACACTTATTATGCTATTACGCTACATACATTACGCTTTGATAAATAATTCACTTGCTAAAATAGGCCCCGTTTACTTTTTCAGAGTATTGCCATTTTATCGCAAGTTTCGGAAATACATTAGTATAATTTCAATAACAATTTTCGGAATATGCTCATTACTATAGCTATCTGCATTCAAAATAAATACACTTATAAAATTCTCCAAGTTCCACAGAATAAAAATATATCTTTATATAAAAGTTATATTTTCTCAACTACAAAATAAAAATTTTTATAAATCTAAATATATACTAATGTTATAATTCAAATAAATTTTTGTTTCAACTGTATATCCTAAAAATATATTCAGATATCTTTTATATTAAAAAGTATAAAAAATCAGAAATAGTTAATCAATTACGTAATAGGCATAATTATTAGAATTTTTATAGATTTTTAAAATTTTTTAATCTTTTCAGATTCATGAAATTAAGAATGTTTATATTCAATTATTAACTGTTTAATATTCAAATATTGTTATTGATGTTATATAAATTAATCATATTTAAATTATTAAAATATATTTAGAAAAAACAATAGTTAAATGGCTTAAAAAAGCTGCTTATTTTCTAATAAATTCAATTTTATAAATATGTATTTCGAAAAACTTAAAAAATTATACAATAGAATCTTAATTTACAAATCAAATATATGTTTTATTAATTTAAATATTTAAAAGAATACAATTAAAAATAATTTAATAAATTGTGATAGTAATTATTATTCGATGATATCAAATACATTCGACCAAGTTATTGATTTTTTAAAAGGAGTTATTCATTTTTATTTATTTAATAAAAAGAAATATAGTATATTTATCAGTATTGAAAATATTAAACTAAATATATGACTCAACAGATAACATCATAAGCCGAGGTACTTTGTATGAAAAAAGAGCATTCATGCACCTTTCAGAGAAATATAGACTGCATATATTACAGTAAGGATTCTGATTTGATTAACCGTTTGCTTACCATTTTTTTTCGCAATATCATTTTATTGTATTTTAATTTAACGCTTTTTAAAGTTTAGCTTTCAATTACACAAAAGTGCCCTCATTACATTCTAATGCACTGTGTACATAAATGTAAATACAGAGTATAGTAAATTGTCATTAATTCCGACTCGCGTATGGCTGCGTAAAATATCCACGCAACAGTAAACCTGTGTGCATTAATTTCTGTATGTAATACAATTCAACACTGATCCGAGAAGTAGAGCGCACAACGTCAGTCTAGCATGCACCTAGATGTCTGAAGTACATAATTTTTAACGCATTAAAGATGTAAAAGCTTGAATATTAAACCATGAGCATATGAAAGAAAATGATTGAATTGATAAGATACAAGTCTTATTAAAATAATAGTCTGTGGATATAGGAGCGGAAACTAATTTTTTCTCCCGCAGAAAAGTAACTTATGGATAGTGTGAATCTTTAATTGTTTTGAATCTTATTTTGCATGCTGATCTTATATAGCATGATCATATTAAAATTAAAAATAAATCTGTACTTTATCAATGCAATATGCATAAATTAGAAATTCATATTTTAAATAATAATTTAAGTGAATTTACCAAATTTTAATTTGTGTCAGATTTTTTGTAAATTGATAATTACAAAGCATTTAACAAGTACGTCTATGTATAATTATTGATAATATGTATTATGATATGATATATATATATATATATATATATATATATATATATATATATAGAAATTCTAAATTTTGTACTTAGAATTTGTATTTATATATAATATTTTAATATTTAATTCTTTTATTTATTAAAATATAAACTACCTATAATGTACATATAAAATATAAATGTTTATTAATAAATAAAAATTAAAAATATAATTAAAAAAATATATAATTATATAAATATAAAATAATATTATATTATTATTTATAAATAATATATAAATAAGCTTTTATAAGCAGCAAATATGTAATAAGTTATATAAAAATTAATTTAATAAATAAAAATTTTAACTTATAATATTTTGTTGTTATTAATTTAACTTAATATTTTCGCATAATCGATATGAGACTTGATTGCTCTGATTATGCGACATGGTGGAGTGAAACTTGAAAACTACATTGTGTGGAACAATACAAGGTTAGACGAGAAAGCCAAAAGCTTATAGCAGATTAAATATAGAATTTAATAAGAATGTATTAAAGAAACATTAAAGGGTAATGAAAAGTAAAAACGACAGAGGATTATTCAAAATATTTATCTCCTGCTTATAGTAAATGTTTTATAAATACATTAATAAATTACAGATATCGACCACATAACAGGAGAAAACTTCTTTGATGCTCTTGACAACGGTGCAATACTATGTCGTTTAGCAAAAATTATTCAAGAAAAGGCTCGGTTGACTATTGATACTAGTAAAGCTAAAGGGGTAAATAATTATTTAGTATTTTTAATTAAGAGAACAATTTTAATTATGTCAATATGTATTACAAGTTAATTTTGTACCGGCCTTCTATAAAAAAGCAATAAGAAGTAATTTTAGTATTAACATTTTGTAAATACAGCTATTCATTTAATATTCATATAATATTCATTCATAATAATCATTGATTATATATATCTTGTATATTTATTTAATATATTGATTAAACATAAAAAAATTTAAAGATATTGAAAAAATTGATATAGAAAATAATAATAAAAACAAAATTTCTTTGAAATAATTAGAGAAATAAAACAAATACTAATAAAACTTTGTAAGATCTTGATTTTTATTCATTAATAGCATATGTATTTGACAAATTATTAATTTTAAAATTAATTATTACAATTAAAATTTTATTTATTAAATTATTAACACCAATTATAAAGGCTTAATTTTTTTTATGAAACACGTACATATGAAAATATTATATTTTTTAGGCAGTACCTACTATAAGAGGACGTTGTTGGGAAAAGGCCGCACGACGTAGTTTTTTTTCAAGGGACAATATGGAAAATTTCATACAATTTTGTCGTCAACTTGGTGTCCACGAAAATCTCATCTTTGAAAGCGATGACCTTGGTAAAATGTTTTATTATTAATATAAATTTAAATAAATTAAATTTCATGAAATTTCAATTCTTCTATAAAAGATAAATTAAATAACACTACTGACATAACAATCACCTATTATTTGAATATTTACATGTATTTGATTTAAAGAAAGAAGTGAATTATGATTTGAAAAATAAGCTATTTATCAAAATTCTTATTAAGAAAACTGAATATCCATATTTTTTAAAACTTAAATAAGTTGAAAATTGTAAAATTTTAAAATAGTAACAATTAAAGTTTATAGTAGCAACAATTTATTAATAAATTAAATTAATAAAAAGTGTTTTAATAAGTATTCATTAAGTTGTTGAATATTTATTGTCGAACGAAATGAACGTTAGTAGTGATTCAGCACCTAAAATGTGTCTTAAATAAGAATTATTTAATATAAGAACATAATACTTTTTAATATAACTTTATTACTATTTAATATCTTCGAAATTTTTAAAATATCAGATTTTTTTAAACGCCACCATTCTATTAAGATTTTTTGATGTTGGACCATAATGGTCCAAATTAACATAATGTCAATTAATTTTTCAAATAGTACATTGTAAATATGTATTAAAAACATTACGTACTTAGAAATAAACGATATAATTATAGTTATATAATTATAATTACATTATGATCGAACTAATTTTTTAGAGCTATAATTTTTCTTAATTTAAAAAAAATAATTTTGTTAAAAATTTGTTTAGAGTACGAAACACAGGAAAATTTCTTTACCCGTGTTTGATTCTCAAACTGAATACAGATGTATTTCATATTTGTAGTACTATATTAGAATAATACTTAAAATAAAAAAAAATATTAAATCAATAATTAGTTCTCTTCCTTTAATGTAGCATTAATTATTTATATAATTCAAGTTTTTATTAATAGTTTTATAACGAAAGAGCAAATTTTAAGCTCATATAATAAATCACGAGAAGTTTTAATTATTTATAATAAAATTATCATTATTTTTAAATTTGTATGTTTATTTTAAGAACTCAAATTAGTTTGAATAATTTTTAGTTTTAGTTTATTTGTGATCTATTAATATTCGACACAATTCAACATTTTATTTTTAGTTGAAAAACGTATCATTTTAATTCAAATAAGATAACGAAAAGTCTAGAATTTTAATTAATAACAAAAAGAAATAAAAAATAAAATTTTTATTGAATATTATAAATTAAATAAGAATAACACTTATCTTTTGTACACAAATGTTCAAGTGCTGGTGCATTATTTAGAAGTTATCTTAATAATATGAATTTATAAACTGAATAATTTTTATATATTTTTTCATTATTATTGTTGGAAAAAAGGCAATATGTATTTATAGGACCTTATCAATTTTTAATAATCTTATTTTTTTTTAATATATACTTTAAAATAAAATAAAAAAGTCACATGGCTATATTAAAAATAATGAAAATTTTAATTTTAAGTATGCTCTTATATTTGTGAAACAGATCAATGTCACCGGAACGTAGTTTCAAAATGCAAATATTTTAAAGATCAAATGAAAATACGACTTTTTATAGAGAATTATTACAATTTCAAGTTTACTACAGAAACGTAATGTTTAAAGAAAATTGAAGTTATCGATTCCATCGACACTAAATTGAATTATATTTATAATTCCTTCTAATGTTATCATCACTTAGTAGATGGTGAATTTTTGATGGAAGAGCTGTAGATTTCTAAAATATTCTCTCTAGGTAACTCAAATAGCTAATATAACTAAATAAAGATATTTTTGTCATATGAAAAAAATGAAAAAACAGTTTTGCATGGTCAGCCACGTAATGTGGTATTGTGCCTATTGGAGGTAGCAAGACTCGCATCCCGGTACTCCCTGGAACCTCCAGGTTTGGTACAGTTGGAGCGGGAGATCGCTGCTGAGCAGGAAAGAGATTTCCGCTGTCTCTCGAACAGTGGTATGTCGCATAACAGCCTCGTTTCCTGGCGATTTCAATCGTCTTCTCCTTCGACTTTAGCTAGACCTTCTGCGGAGAAGATGAAACATAGCAGGTATTGCAACTGATTAAAGTTTCACATTTTATCTAAATCCTATAATTTTCTGTAAATTTTCTTTATACAAATTGTATTTATACTTCAGTTATTTTATCTCATCTTAATTTAAATTGAATTACGAATTTTTTCAAGGGAATAATCTAAAATATTATTTTGGAAAACATTATCTTAGATGTGTCAGTTCTACATCTGGATTTAATTAAGAGTTTTAAATAATACAAAGCTTGAAACAGTGTTTTATTCCTAATGCTTTTGATAAAATTAATTAAATAGTCTACAAGTTTAATATTTTTATACGATATTTTTAATAATCCTTATAGAAATAATACCTAAATCAAAATTAATGGTAAAATTAATTGATGAAAAATATACCAAAATATATGAGATATTAATTATTAAACATTATAATATTTAAAAATTATTATTTAATAAAATAAATTTATAATAAATATTAAATAATTTCATAAGTTTTCATACATTGATATATTTATCTAATGTTGCTTTCAGTCAGTTCTAAATTAATATTTTAAGCCATTATTTATGTAAATACATTTAGTAAAGTAATATTAAATTACAATTTCTAAAAAATAGAAATTAAATCAAACTCGACAGTTAAAAAAGTTTAATATATATTTTATTTATTATACATTCTCTTTGCTTTTAATTAAATGAAAATAACTCTATTAGCATATATCACATTTATTAAATTCGTACATATTGCATTTACTTCCAAAATATTACACAAGGTTTTATCAAATTTATTAGTGAGTTTATTAAGAACATCAAAGTATGTTTTAAAATTACATTGCAATTGGAATATCCATGTAACCCATATGACAGTATCTATGTCATTGTACATTAATGAATTAAATGTAAAGTTCACAAAAAATTTTTTTTAACTTTGAATCGAAAGCTTTGAATCTATTTATAAATAAATCGTATAATAAAATTTAAATATATTCTTTATTTTCAAAAACTTACATATTATATAACTGATCCAAATCTAATTAAAAATTTCGAAGTAATAGTTTATTGTGAACTGTACATACATTATATTATTTTATTTAAATTTATTTAATTGTATTATTTTATTTTAATTTATATTATTTAATAGTATTTAATATTATCTATATAGAAAATATTTTCTAGTTATAATAGAAACGTAGTTAATAATCGTTGAAATAAAAAATACTATTTCGATTACTGATATTTTAGATTAGATGAAGTTGTTTTTAATAATTAATATAAAAATATACAAGAGAAAATTATTTTATTTGTATAAATATTTCAGAAAATTAAAATTAAAATAAATTAAATTGAAAAATGAATACCTAACGTGAACTCAAACTTTTGTCTTATATTAAATTAATTCTTTAAACATTGTAGTTACATTCTAATGTAATTAATACCATATAATATGATTTAAATTTCATAAATTACTTATAATAAATATTATACATTAAATTTATAATATAAACTGTTATATGTTAAAGTAATGATAATATTATATATTTTATAAATTTATACTTAATTTATGCTATTTTTGTGTGATTTATATTTAGCTCTGCTATGGAGATGTCAACGAGTGCCTCGCGATGGTTGGAGCCAACAACAACTTTGATCCATGAGCCGGAGATGAGAAGATCAGTAAGTGACAACGGACCGACAGGCAGCGACGGTGTATCAAGCGACACGACGGAAGACGAGTGGTCTCGTGGTAGTGTTGAGGATCCTGATGACATTCTTTCACCCTCTAGTTCGCCATCGCCATCTTCGATTGAGTTATCTAAGCACGCTGGCCCAATTACGGAACTTGATCGAAAAGTATGTCATTTTGTAAAATGTAGAAGAAATAAAAAATATAAGCACTGTCTATATTATCAATGGTATATAGTCTACTATTTTTTGGCTTTATAAGTAAAACAATTTGAATTACTTTAAATAGTAAGTTAAAAAATGTTTATTTTTAATAATGGTATGAAATTATTTAATTTTAAAGAATTAAATTTGTATAATTTTTGAATATTACAAATTAAGTATATTAAATTGTAGATAAAATAATTCTGTACATAACGATTCAGATATTTCCGTTCATAATAAATAGAAGTTTATTATTAATAAAAAGTATGTTTATGAATAATAAATAGCTTTATATTTTTTGAAACCTAACATGTAAATCAAGTATATTTTGCATATCAGAAAAGTACAACTTTAAAATTGCGATTACTATATTTATTATTTTATTTTTATTTGTATTATGCAATAAAATAGATATAAAACTTTTGTTTCTGTATTAAATACAAATTTTTAACCATATAATAAAAATAAAGGTTTAATATATGTATAAAATATGTTATAAATGCATATATTTTATAAATCACAAATATGCTATGTCCTACATGGCAAGTTTATTACAATATTTATTTTAGCAATCATTTTTTAAACATATTATTATATTTATACATCTGTAGGTAAAAAGAGCTACAGAGGCTATACAGAGACTCTGTCAGTGTCCATCTAGCAAATGTAGTAAAATTAAAGTCCACAAAGTTGGAGAAGGACGTTATAATATTGCCGGACGAAACGTATTCATCAGGGTAAAATATTTTAATTTTAAATATCATTTTTTTATAATAAAATAGTTGTTGAAAAATTTTAAATTACTTTTCTTAATTTTATTTTAAAAATTGAATAAAACAATTAATAATTTTATATAATTATAAATATAAAATAAAGAGTTTTAAAATTTAGTTGTTAAGATACAAGGAAATTAAGAATTTAAGGGAAAAGTTATATAAAATTTGAAGAATTAATTAGAAAATTATTTTTGCACAATTTTAATTATGAAAGAGTAAATTACAATTAATTTGATTTATTTCCCTTAATAACTTAATGTTCATTAATCTAAACTGTGATAATAAGTATAAACATTAAACCATTTACCACCAATTTAGATTAATTTTCCAATGAGTATCATAAATAAACAAACTCGAAATAATGTTACATACCTTATTTATATTAACATTTCAATACACTCAATAGGTAAAGGACGTAAAGATTTGTTACATTTCTTAGTGATAGTAATATATTTTGATATTATAGTTAAGAGTAAAAAATTAATAATACTGCCAAAATTTAATTGTTTGCTAAAAAATATATAATATTATATTACTTAATATCATTGGATACGTTGTAAATTTTGATTCAGTAAAATAGTTTAGTAAATACAATTTATGTATTTATTATATTACTTTTAATGAATTACAGAACAGATATTTATCTAATTATGCATAAAATATGGTTTTTTGAAATTTAGTATATAAGTGAAATATATGCAAATACTTAAATAGAATATGAAATAATATGAACCATCTGTTTGAATTTTTTTTTTTAACGTATTTACATTTAATTTATATATATAAAAGTAATATAGATACTTTATATCTTAATGTTTTTAATGCTTATACTAATATTTTTATTATGAATAATTCTTTGTTAAAGCAATGCATTGTATTGAATAATTTTAGCTTTTGAAAGGACGGCACATGATGGTGCGAGTGGGCGGTGGATGGGATACTTTGGAGCATTTTCTAACCAGGCATGACCCTTGCCAGGTGAGGGTCCTCAATCGTGAGAGTACACCACCTTCTCACAGCACCAGCAAGCACAGCAATAATTTTCTTCACATTCGCGCCAAATACCGCAGTCCACCGAATCTTGAATCTTTATCAGCTCACTAGCTTTTACTATTTTCATCGATTTTTCATCAATGCACGTTCATAGTATATACATCTAGTTATATACATAGTGCCTGCTAAGAATTGATAAAATAATTTGTTGCAATATCAAATGTTATTGTCACTCTTTGGCACATAAATCCGAGTTATCTTAATTCTTTAAGTATTTCTTAATATTTTCTTCTTTATTTAAAAATGAATGCCTTAAGCAACATATATCATTTGTATTTTTCATTTACTGTACGAAAATTTCATATATATTATTTTTTTATATCCGATTGTATATTGAGAAAAATTTAAGAATACAAAATCTTTTGAAGTATAAGTATCAATTATTTTATAAGTATTAGATAGAAAAATTTAATAAGTAACGAATTGTGAAAAATATTTTTCGTCTTTCGATCATTTGAGATTATACTTGTTTATTTCTTAATTATTATTATTATTTATACTTTATATAATTTGTATAAAAATTGTATTAATATCATCTTGATTTTTTTTATTTTCTTATAATTAGAATATTTACATAAATTTCTAAAACAACTTTAAATATCTGATTAAAGTTTTACTTAATATTTTAAGGAACGTTATTTTTGATAATTAGTCGATGTATTTTATGTGTATCTAATGATTTATTGTAGATCTATTGAGATTAATTTATGTATATATTTTAAACTTAATTACTTTAAATTTAAAATAATTCATGATGAACTATAATATTTAGAGGTATGAGAAAAAATATTTCGTCATTATTAGATACATAAGTTTAATAAATCAATTTTTCATTTTGATAAAAGTAGAATTTATATAATCATATTAGCTTATAATTATATATTAATTTATTTATATTATATTTACATATTAATTTATATAATAATATTTAATAATTATCTAACATTGTGCTAAATGATGTTATATAATTAGTAATTCTTAATATTCTATAATAATGGCGCATTTTGATATAAGTACTATATTTCTTCTGATTTATTGCGAGAAAAAACATATGCTTACTTATTCTGATACAAGCATATAAAGGACGTGCTTTCTAGATACAAAATAAAAAATTGAATTCTAACTGAATTTCAATAATAACTATAAATACCAAATATTTTAACAAATGAAGATTTATTTATATACTTCGTTCCTTAATGTACAAAAAAGTATTATTTTATAATAGAGAATGAATGATTAAATAATATAAAATATTAACTACAATTATTATTTAAAAATAATATAGAATAGCTAAAATTTATTTTTATTTATTACAGGATAGCAATAGAAAAATAGAAAAAATTCTATACAATTTAGAATAAATTATAAGTTTTCAGTGTAAGATAATATAAAATTATATTTTCTCAAATAATAATTTTTATACACATGCATAAAATGAAAGAAAATATATGACTTGAAATAATGCTTATATAATAATGCATTCTAAAATATACAATACTAGGAGCTATTATTCCTATATTAATTTTTATATATGTACTCATTGTAATATTTACTGTACGTTACAGCAATAACCTATAGAATATAAGAGTTGTGTTAGTTAAATTTAATTGAACATTAGACTAAGAGATTGACCTAATATTAAATGAAAATTTTTATAATTTTCGATTGAATCTTATAAAAAAAATGTATAAATTTTGTATAAAAAGTATTTTATATTGTCTTAATTGCAATAATAAGAAAAATATTATAAATAAATATTTATCTTTTCTATTTTTATATAATGAACTTTTTATATAACTATAAATTGAGCAAACGAAGTGTCAATTACCAAACTGAATTAAAATATTTTTTGAGATGAGTAAAATTAAATTAAAATGTAAAAAGATCTCATGCATTTGATTTTTTTACAGAAATACAGGGGCGGAACGTTTAAAGGAATATCAAAGCAGAGAACCGTCCGACAAGTCTTGTCGTTACGTTGAATCTAATTAATATTTAGGCATATGCAATATTTGTATTTATGAGAAAAAATATAAAAATGTAATACTTCAGCCTTTTCTGCGCATTTTTAAATATTTGTTCATTTAAAGAGCCTTTGCATTGTATAATTTATAATTATATTATAGAAATCTACTTTCCGATATGTATTATGTAAAATTTGTTTTCAAAATTTTGACAAATGAAATTTTATTAAAATTATATTTCAATATAATTCATTTAAGAATTGACTAAAAAACTGTAATATTAAATATAACTTTAAATATTAATTTTAATATATTTTTTTATTTTACATTAAATTTTTAATAAATATTTGTGTGGGTGTATTTAAAATAAATGTACGAACGGTACTATAATTTTCATTATTAAATTCTGGATAATTATTTAAAATTTATAAATAATTACTATTCAATTTTTTAAAAATAAATAAATATTATTCTATGCTTATAAGTGTAATCAAAGCAAATAAAAAATATATGATAGCATATGATCAATTAATTAAAAATTTTAAAATATTATAAGAAAATATCCTTGTTTCGTATAATGTCGTTACTTTATTAAATCATTTTTACTTTTATGCGAACTTTTAATTTTATTGTAACAACAAAGCATAATTTTATATTTTTGCAATAATGTAATTTCTTAGTCTATTTCCTTTAACTGATCATAAATAATTTATTCATAATGTTACATTACTCACATTTTTTCGTATGTCGTTTGTATAACCATATAATTAAAATATAAATTATGTATAATAGTTGTATATATTTTTGCATGTATATAATTTGCATCTGAACAAAATGTTAAATTAAAATTCATTTGAAAATTTTTATTTTTTTTACTTTTTATTAAACAATAGAATATTAAAAAAAATTTTTTAGAATAGCACATACTTGATTATGCATTTGGTTATAAATAAATAAAATCATTTGTATGTAAATATTTATTTATTTTTGAATTCGTATAAAGATTTATCCAATGACAATATTTAATTATATAATATAAAATGACATCTATCAAAAAGCATATAAACAAGATTTGTTTAATATTCATTTAAAAAATATTTTATGTATTGCAATTTTTAATAATTTAAAATAATCATTTTGATTACAAACTTTGGATAAATAAAACAATTGTGAGCATAAATTTATAAAATTACCTTTCCTTTATAATTAAATATTAGTTTACTATAATAAATTTAACGTAATAAACTCGTCATAAATAAATGCATAATAAAATCCGATAGAGTTAAAATATTGAAAGTTTATTTTTTCTTACTCTTTAGTTACTTGAGTTTTTCGCCTATTAAATTCTTGAATATCATCTTCCAACTTTTTTCGACTCTCTTCCAGTTTCTTTTTTTCGTCTGAATGATCTCTTTTTAATTTATCAAATTTATTATGAAGCTACAATATATAAATGAATGTATTATATTAATAAAATATTTAAATAAAAACGAAACAATTATGAAATAAGACAAAACAATTGCCTAAATCATTGAAGAATGCTTTGTAATTTAATCATAATTGTATATATCAAACGTAATTTTAATAAAATGACTTAAAACTTTGCAACACTCACCTCTTTTTCAGATTCTTTTAATTCAGCTTCAGCATCTTTAACTCGAACAACAAACATCTGTCTCATTTCATCTTCTTTTTGTTGAAGTTCTTGTAAATGAGTAGATCTTTTTGCTTCACATGTTTGTTGAAAGCTAACAGGTTTGTTTTCACTATCAACGTCACTAAATCCCATCTGAATAATAATTTTTAATATTATATAAATATACGATGTTTATTATATTCCATAATTTTATAAGCAGATTGTCAACATACTTGTTCGAGTCTCTTCTTTCGATATAATTCATAATGGCGATTATGAGTCTTTTCTCGCATATCTTCCATATTTGTTCGAATTAACATTTCTCGCAGTTTTACGAAATCACAATGTAATTCATTTTCAACTATTAGTTTTAAATTTCAGAGTTCAATAAAAAAAATTTATATTAATAGAAAAAAAAATGTAAATTTATACGAAATTCATATTAAAACTTTAAATTGCATACTTGTATGTACCTTGTACTGTTCCCCATGGATACTGTCGAGATCTCAGCATCTTATTTCCTACACGTACAAAGTCTGTGCTGCCAACTACTGCAAATGGTACATGAGCATTCATTTGAGTATTAATATCAGCAACACTTTCGTCATCAGTTGGAAATTGATATATATTTACTCCATTACTCTGAAGTTCATTTATGATTTTATTCTATAATAAAAAGTGATTAATAATAGAAATTTAAAATTTTTTTAAAAAACTTAAGTATTTTTTATTGAAAAATTTTATAATAAAACAAAATACCTTAAACTTTTGTAATTCAGTTTTTGAAATAGTATCGGCCTTGGCGATAATGGGGATTATATTTACTTTTGTATCTAATTTATTCATACAAACTAAATCAATCGATTTTAATCTGCAATTATAAAATGTATTTTATTAAATTTGACAATAACGAATTTTTGTATCTTTTTTCAATTTAGGCTTAATTAAAAAAATTAATATATAATTAAAAAATAATGTTAATCTAGAATTCTACATGATAATATCCTAACAAAATTTGATAATTGTAATATTTTAAAGACCCTTTTAAAAACAATTTTATTTAATGGCATTAATGTTTAGGATTACAAATCAATTATTGTAATATTATGATTATGAACCAACTTAATAAATTAAATATCTTTGAGACTATAGTGCAACTGTACCCATGTCCTGTTGGACAGATGAAATAAAGGCACACATGAGTGCGACTGTCATGGTAAGTAGATAATGATCGTTTTATTTTCAATTCCTCTTGTAAATGGGCTTCAAACTGAGCATCAATATAATCTACAACGGCTTTAAAACTGTCTTCCTTATTAACTTGATCTCCATAACCAACAGTATCAACAATTGTCAATTTTAGTCTGACATTACTTTCTTGTAATTCATACGTATGAGCTTTTAATTTTACAGCGGGTAAATTATGTGGACTTGGAGTTGATTCAAAACTGGTGTTAAATAAAGAGTCCATGAGCGTTGATTTACCAAGACCCGTTTCACCTGTTTTATAATAACAATTAATTAGAATAAAACATATAAACTTAATATAAACCTCACATAATAAAAATTATTGAATAATTATTAAATACATTTAGTTTCAAGAAACGTATAAAAAAACAGTATAGCAAAAATATAAAAACCAAATTACAATTTCAAACTATGTAATTTACAAATTAAAAAATTTATAGTAACTTCAACTATTAAAATTTATAGTTTTAAATATTTTAAAACATAATTCAAATTCAAATAAAAAAAATTAATTTATTAATTTTTACATATTTAATAAATTGATATAAAAATATATTAGGATATTAGTATCAATAATATATAGTTTGTTTTTTCAATACATCATATGTGTATGTATTAAAAATATATATTTTATTTATTGAGTAATAGATTATTAGGTAATTTTAGACTTTTATTTTACAAATCAAATATCTATATGTAATTACTCGTTCTATAGATTAACTAAATCTTTTAATTTAAAGAGGTTGATAGATTAATTTGTTATTAGTGTCTTACCAATACATAGAATGTTAAAAACAAATCCATTTTGCACTGACTTATTTACCAATTGATCAGGTAGGCTGTCAAAACCAACGTGCCCAGATAATTTTAAGTTGCGAATACAAGATTCTAGCTGCTTAAACAAAATTTTTTAACTTTAATAAGCTGTTACAATAAAAATCAGAAAATTTACAATTAGTATTCCTTAAGAAAATTGAATTTTTTGAAAGTGGCAATTTTGCAAATATAATTATAATCACAAGAAAAAGAATGAATACTGAACAAAACCAACGCCCTTAGTTTCTTTTTTTATAGAACGTATTATACATTCTTTATTATAAATGTACCACTTTTAATAATAAAAATTTTTTATATCACTTTTCTATTGCATAAAAAAATTAGTAATATAATAAAATGTTTATAAATCATAAAATTCCAAATAAAAACAATGCTTACCTTCGAATGTTCAATGGCAACGGCTTCCATTTTTAATGCGTTTGGTATTGGTCGTACACGTGTATGCATGTGTTCGATTTTTAAGTTTGTAGTAGTTTTCACGTCCGTTAGTATATCTAGTTACCGCTCGGTTACAGATGCCTGGAATACTTATAGGTATCACATTCGCATCAACATTTGTGCGCAGACGATAGCAAGAATACTAATGAAATAAACTTATTTGTCACCAGAGGACAGCAGATACTAACATACCTTTCGCGGCATGTTCAATCCGTAATGTAATGTAACACATGCATGTATCAAGCATAAATTATGAAAAGAAAACAAATGTATGTACTTTTGAATATTATTTGGTTAAAACCTCAGGCTTTTATAAACATGTATCCACCTATTAAATATGTAAATACTTTTAAATACCGTATAAATATTAAATAGTTATTCAATAGTCTATTTAGAGTAAATTTTTATAATACATTTTACAGACATTTAATTTGAAATAATCAAATTAATAATTAAAATTCAATCTATAAAATGATTTTAAACGACTAATATTATATACGTATTATATACGCATTTATATGCGTATGAATTATATACGTATGAATACATGATTATAAATATAAATATGAACTATAAAAGGTAAAATGATAACTTATTATATATATTACAAATAGCATAATGTGTTTTTATTACAAACGATGTTATTATAAATTACAATAAAAGAAAATGATTTCTTATATTATTGGCAAAATACCATTGAACATAATATTTTTGCAAATTAAACTCCTTCAAGTGTAGATAAAAATCATTATAATTTTTTAAACTTGTCTTCTTTATTTTATTAAAAATTTTAAGTTGCATCAACATCAAACATAATTATTATAATTTGTTTCAATAAAAATACATAAATAATATATCTGTATTATAATGCTGTTAAATTAAATTCGATTTACATTACGTTTTATTGATTTTTTTCTATTTACAAGTTACGAGTCTCAACATATGCTTTCTCCGTATAAATTGCTCGACTTATTCGGCTTTAATTAACATTATAATAAAATAATATAGTAATATAATAATATAATATTTATTTGATAATTTAATAGACTTATCAATATAAATTGATAAGTTTTAATTAATTACTTATTATAGAAAATTTAAAGAAGTATGTAAAATAATATAATTAAATATTTAGTATTAGCTGTTGCATTTTACTGAAATGCAAACTTTTCACTTCTCGGGTACAATACAATATTTAACTAAATCTAATGCACTGTTATTATTTACCCACTAAACCATATTATTTGGGGTTATGAATTTTTTTAATTTAAAATTTTATTTTTTTATATAATATATTATCATAAACTTTTATTAAATAATTTTATTATTAATTTACAAATCAAGTATTTTGTACTAGCAAAAATTTTATTTAAGGAATATGCAAACTATTTAATGAATTATTAGTTTTTCAAAAAAGAAAATAATATCGTAATGAAATGATGTTATCAATTTTGAAAACGCTTTAAGTCTTTTTTACAGTTGTATCGACTGTATTATTTATAAAAGTAATATAATAATATTTTTTTATACTTTTCAAAGATATCTGTAAGAAATAAATATGACTTAATTGATGTTTATAATATCAACTAAGAGATATTTATCGATTTTTTTTATTTACTTTTAAATGATTTTTTTATTGTATGAAATTGAAGATTAGTGTATAATGAATGAAAAATAAATTAGAAGACTTCAAATATTATTTTAACGGTATTTTTTATTTTAATTTCGAATGTGATCGAAAAATAAAATCGTTTATCGGTACCGTAAGTTTGTCGATCAAGTATCGCTTGGAGTTACTTTCTTATAAAAATAGAGACGTATCAATTATTTTTGTAGACATATGCATTACATAAAAAATATATCAAATATTTATTTTTAACTTTTCTTTTTAACTGTGAGAACGTTAAACATAATATGTATATATATATGACATAATTTTGTAGAATTTTCAATAAGTTGCAAATATTGATTGGTCATTAACTTTATTTTCTTTATAAATGGGTTGGTTATCTTTTATAAGTGCGAAGTATTTGATAATATATCGTACATTTCAATCCAAATTGAATCCTAATTTCAGAAAGCAGAAAGTACACTTCATTTTTCCATATCAATTGTATATATATATTTATTTATTTATTTATTTAGTTATTTATTATATATATATATATATAAATACATAATCGAGAATAGTGTTAAAGATTTTTTAATAAAATTGTCATAATTTTTATTCAATAATATTTTTATCTTTAATTCTAATTTATTATTTTGTTGGGCTTCGCGTTAAAAATAATTTTTACTTCATCTCTATTCACTCTAAGGCATTTTAAATGCATTTTAATAATTAATTAGCATTGTGTGCGACGACGTAAGTTTCATACAAACTTTTGATTTAAACATGTTTTTAAAAATGTTATGTATTTCGCACTTAATATCTTTTTAGAAGCTAGGATTAGACTAATAAATAAATAAATTCTAGTCTGATGTATGTCAAAATATTCGTAATTATGGTATGCATCTTTAAGTGCCAATTGAATCCAATAAGCTGTTGTAAAATCTCGTAAAGTCATAATAAGATATATATCGAATTGGAATACCATTGTCGTTGTTAATGTTACTTTGGCAAATGTTAAAAGACTAAAGATAGAGTTGTCGAGACGTGGGTTTTTCGCACTAAAGCAGGTGTGACCACTGGTCGATAAACCTTCTCGTACAGGCATATCGTAGACGACGACACAAACGCGTGGGTCATTCGCTCGACTAGAGGCAACTTCCCTATCGATCCGCTTCGCGTCACCGTGATCGCATCTAGTTCCTCGGCCCCCACGTCGCGCATCCGTCCTCCTTGCTCCGCTGTGCAAGCAATACGTTGTTAGTGCTGCTATATTAGTAAAGAAAGGGACGTAGCTTCGTAGGGATATTAGCCATCAGCACGATGGCAAGCCGTTCACAACAGTGACCACCTTACAACATGGCAGAACAATTGGTGTTGTATTGTCATGTGATGAACTCCGGAGAGCGATAGAGCAAGGGAAGAGATAGGTAGATAGATAGAGAGAGAAAGTGAGAGAGATTTGTGGTGATACTAGGCAGGTAAGTAGGTAAGTCTCTAGAAAGACCAGTACCAAACTCTTGTCGTTGAGACTCCCCGAGTCGTTTAAATGGCTGTCGTGAGCATACACTTGTATGCTGACACGAGTGTAAAGGAGTTTATGTGACGCGGCACAGTTGCTGCTGCTCGTCTTGGATTTTTTATTGTTTCGAGATCCGAGATAACGTTCACCATCGTCGTTGTTATCGTCGTCAGGTGTCGCTCCCACACAACCACTACGAGACGCCGGCATCCAACACCCACCCTGTGTTCCTCTACAAGCCCTCGCGGCAACGAGAACTGGAAGTCTACTGAGAACGAAGAAACCAGCAGAAGCAGCACTCACAGCTTCGACAGTGCCTCTGTGCATGCGTTTGTGCTCTCGCGTCGTTGCACTTGTGTGATAAAAGTATCGCATGACAGGTGTGCGTTAAATCGCGGTGATAATAAAAATATAGTTGAATAAAAATAATAATAATTATCGACGATACAATAGCGAAGAGAGGTCACGATGGCGGACATAAAGTCCCCACCATTTAGTGATATAAAACGTCCTGAGGACGTGGTGGCGATGGCAATGAACGACAGCCTCAAGTTCGCCGTTCTTATCGGCCTTATCGAGGTTGGTCAGGTGTCCAATCGGGAAGTCGTTAATACAGTCCTTCATCTGGTAAGTAAACTCATTCGTTCGAGAGCATTTACATGTATGAAAGCGAACTAAATGCAGCTGGTTGTCCGTTAACTTACAGGAGTTAGTAAGCCCGTAGTTTTAGCTGTCAAACGAAATTGTCCCCTCCTTTTCCTCAGCCCTTGATATCAACGCTGCATGAGCTCTATCGGGTAACAAACACCTTTAACACACTGCGCGATTTCATATGCTAGCTATACGGTTTTTCTGAATTAATAACAGATGAAACACTTTAAGGTTAATCAGTACATAAACCAAACTTTATTCCTTCGCTTATATATTGATTTATTAACGTTAGGCTATCTTAAACACCGGATGTGTCATGTATATTATTTCTTGCATAAAATATTATATTTGTAATTATTAATATTCCACATTTCAATTTTCATTTATGAAATGTACTTATTTATGGTAACGACAATATTATTAATGATTTTAGTTCAATCTGTATTATTAAGTTTGCTAATAAACATTTGAACATTTTTAAACAAATTTAAAAATGTGTATAGCTCCCATTAATATAATTAATAAATTTTCTTCCATTAATAAATTTATTTTGTACCACGGCCTCTAGGGAATATAAATTTTGGTATTGCTGTCCAATGCATATATTTGCTCATTTTGGTAAATACTTTAACACTATTGAATGGAACTCATTAGATTAAACAACGTTCCTTTATGATAAAAATACTTTACTTTTTTCTGTACTGCATTTAGACATCCAAGTGTATTTAATATTATGTAAAAATTTGTAATTCAAAAATATTCATATTAAATCTTTAAAAATTAAAATTAATTCAAAATATATAATTCGATTTTATTATAACATTCTTTATAAACATATAATATCCCATAACTTTGAAAAATATAGAATTCATTTTTAGTAGTTTAAGGATATATTATTATACATTAAAAATTGCTTTCTTACTCAAAATTAGTTATTGTCGATTAGCTTATTATTTTATTATCAAAGCAGAATTTTCTAAAAATCTGAAAGATAATAAAATACACTATTAAATAAAAAAATTAGATTAAATTAGTGAAAAGTAGATATGTCGCTATAAATTGATCATTTCTCGTCAATTAAATTGATGTACAAATAATAATACACAGTAAATAATAAAAATATTAAATAAATAAACAATATCATATTAAACAATGTGCTCGTTTATTATTATTATTATTATTATAGTTTTTGATCATAAATGCACGAAAAGTAATTTATAATTTATATTCGTTAATAGTTTATTTTATTAGTATATCTTCAATTATTCTAAATTTGTAATTTATTGAGTGTAAGCACAATTTAGTACAGGAAATGTCAGGGTAAAAGTAATGCGTTAAAATATTTATGATATTTGTACATGCTGGTTTTATGAAATTTTGTTAAATATTGCATTAACCTTTAATTGTTAAATACACTTCATTATAGTAGTATTTATGTTTTTTTGAACTTCAATAAAACAATTCGAATCACACCTAATATTTCATTAAACTTTTATATTTAAGACCTATTAGATTTATGTACATATAACAATTTTTGGTTTACATTAACTAGATTTTAATTTAACTCATGTCACCGATATATTATCTATTGATGAAATTAACAATTGCAATTTTTTAAAACATTTGATTTTAAAATTTTATTAAAGGAACTAAGCGCCGTATGATTAAAAAGGACTGTAAACTGGCCTACCATTTTTAATATTAATTCAGTTTTGTTATTTTTAAAATATTTTTTTTTTATAAAAGTAATTTTACATAATGTAGAAAATTAATATAACGTAATACATTATATATGTGTGAAGTATCAGATCTTCTTTATATACTTGGATAAATAGTGGTAAATAAAAATAATGGTCATTGATTATTCATATACAAATGCATAAAATTTATTAAGATAATTAACTGTTATGTATCTGTTACATATCTATTATTTCAGGTAATATAAACTGACTTTTAATCCAAAAAGTTAATATTATTTTAAAAATTGTTAAAAATTAAAGTTTTTTGTTATAATCAGCATTTATGTTATTTTGAATTGTTTTAATTTATTCGCTAAGATGTTAACTAATTCAGCATTATTTGCTATCATCGAAGAACTATAATAAAAATTTTAAGTTTGTGTAGAAGTTATAGAATCGGAATGAAACTGATTTTAACAAATATTGTTATTACACTTTTTATAAATAAGAGCTTCATTTTTTATTGTATAATATGTATTAATAAAAACAAAAAGACAAATTGTCTTCAGTGAGTTAATTGTAATGTCAAATTACTTTAATATGAATTTCAAATTTATTATTTAATATAATATTGCAATGAATCACTATTTTGAATAAAATTATTAATTAATATTAAGAAATATGTTATTATAGTATGATGTAATGGAATTTCATTTTTAATGATCAGTTTCTCATCTTTCAGTCGATATTTGTTCATCGTTGATGGTAGACTGTTTTTACACGTTTTGAATGTAGTTGAAGTAAAATAATAAGACATTGAATTAGTAATAAAAATACAACGAAAGATTGTTTATAGAATTGGATATATTTTAATTGGTTTTTCCTTTGCCTGATTTTATTTTCGTATTGTACATACATTAGATTAGAGAGTACTAAAAACTCCTGTAGAATCAAAATATTATTAGTATTTAACTCCTTAATCTACCTGTTCGATGTAATTATAGTGTTTCGAATAATAATATTTCTGAAAAATGTGTGATATTAAGTTATAATATACATCTTGAAGTGTGCCATATATTTAATTCTTAGACACATGTTTAAAAATTTATTTTCTCTTCCGAGGCCGAACACTATATTAAGCTATACACTATACTAAGCTTCTATGATATTGTAAAATACCATCTTCGACTTTACATTCTTTGTGATTATTCTTAGAATTTCATGTATTTTTTATTTTATTATAGGAATGGAATACGTTTGATCTACTGTAGGTATTATCTGAGTTTATCTTTTATCTTAAATGTATTGTCAAGAAGACACGAAACATGTTATCTAGATGCTTAGAAAAATAACTCTGTTCATCCTGTATGAGCAACCATATTTGCAAAAATCACTTATTTTCAAAAATATCTTTGCTAAATGAATAATTGTAATTGAAAGAACTTTATTCTTTTCAATTATCCATATTTATTAATAATCGTCGAAAATATGAAGTTTGTATACAAAATAACCAAATAGATTGTCATTATCCATTCATATGAGTTATTAGTAAATTACTACTAACTCATCCTCCAACTATGTTAGAACTGATGCTGTACTGTCGGTTGTCGGTACAAGTAAATTAATAATAATGAGATTTGAAATCGATGCCAATAGATAGACCTGTCTATTCTACTTAGCTTCGACAAAGAGGTTTATGAATTTACAAAAATACAAAGTAATCTGGATTGTAGTTGGGAAAGAAAAAAATTTGTTTAAGAATTAATAATATGAAAAAGTTACAATAAATTTTGGAAAATACCATATGTAAGCAACTTCAGAATTAAAATTTGATATGCATTAAGGTTTGGTCAGTTTTATACTTAAATATTTTGGTTTCTTATTGTACTTATCAATGTATTCTTCAGTTTAGGATCTTCAGCAGAATAAATTAAAGATAATTGGATTTTTTACACACTATTTTATTTATAGGATAGAAACACCTAATTTTAGTAATAATCGTTACAAGTCTGCCTGCTTTATTACTGTACAATAATGATTTTAAATTATTTTCTTAGGTTTAATTAATTTCAAGTGTAGTGATTACACAAAATCAGTTGATAATTAATAGTTTTCGATAACGTACATATTTTAAACTGTATGATACAATGTACAAAAAGTGTGATTTACTATGAATACACATTTGATGATATCAATAATATTGATTCGTGTTACATATCTTTTAGCTTTTCATGATTATTAAGAAGTTACTATGTAACAATATATTAACCATTTATTACGACTTCACTTATATCGTTGTTGAATACGTTAGAAATATATTTAGTATTTTTATTCATAAATATTCCTTTATAATTATTTAAAGATGTCTAAGATCTTATATAATTATTGATGATTTTGATTTGATATACAATTTTCAAATTTATGTGACTATTTCTCATATCATTAGTTTTTAGACAGAATTCTTGTGAATTTTTATACTTTGCTTTATTTTCTTATTTCGTATATTACGTAATAACGTAAAACGTAATGTAGTCTTCTTAGTAATGAGTTCAAGTTTTAGGTCAAGAGTCTTTTCTTTCATCATGTTTTATTTAAAGACAAAAATTTCGCGGAAATGATGTACATACTAATATAAAAAGATTAAACCTGTAGAAGAAAAAAAATATTGCTTTATCCACGTCATAATTTCAGGGGGTATAGAATAACATATCACACAATAATAATAATTATAAAATATGAAGCTTTTTGGTATTATATAAGTTCTACTATACAGATCAGTAATACTGGAGTAATTACTTTAGTTTATTTGAATCTTATGCCGCAATACAAATCTGAAAAGTGAAAGTGTCAATTTGTTTAAATTAATCCAAACATACTTTTTACTTTTTCAGATGCCACAATATTATAAATATAATTGTAATACAAAGAAATTAACATTATTTGTTAGAAAAAAACTTATTTGAAGTATAAATGTATTGAAGAATCAAAGAAAGATTACGTATTGAACGACGAAAAAAGAAATGAATATATGTTTTTAACTTCTTACGTATATTTATATAAATTTTACCCTTTCTTTTTTCATGTGCTAGCGCAAATTGTACATCCACTGAATGGTCTACTGAATCTAGTTCAAATTTCATTAAATTATTAATCTTTTAAAATTACTTACAGAAGCTTTCTTAATAATTAAAAAATTATTTTATAACAATAGCATATAATATATATATAATTCAATGTTTTTATGAAATAATTTTATAACATGAAAAAATGAGTTGCATCTGGAATATCTTAAACTTT